GTAACAGCTAGTTTATTAGAATATGCTATTAAAGAGAATATTCCATTGAATATTCTCTGCACTTGTACTATTAGGGTTTTGTTGAGGGTATGTCCCGTTCAAATAGGAAAAAGGAGAATGACCAAAAGCATGTGATATTCATTGTGATAAGAGCAGACTTTACTAAGAGATTCTCTCTCTCTCTTGCAAAGATACAAAGATTACCTTTTTATCAAGATTCTTGCTCGTATTATTCAACACTTTTTCATCAGATCCAAGGATATTTCGAATGTCCTAAGATCTATCTGTCACTCATCATTGTCAGGAGGAACAATCACCTAGTTCGGTGTTTATTGGGTGAACCCCTTCTCCTATTTACATAAATGTCATTTGTTGCGATTTATTGCTAGTTACTCCTCCATTATTATTCATACGTTTTGAGATACTCACTGAATGCTACTATCAACTCTCTGCTAGATCTGTCTACACGTTAGCCACATTCTCATAGTTTATATTTAGAAATATTATTATTAACTAAGTTTAACACTTTATTATATAAATATAATAGTTTACCCAAAGTCATATTTCTTGGTCAGACCAGTATTTTGGAAAGCGTTAAGAGCAAAAAAAGCGGCGAGGCCTCGCTTCACAGAAGCGAGAAGCGAGAAGCGAAGCGCGTGCTTTTTTGCTGTGAAGCGCAATTTAACACATAAAAAAATAAGCATAGATAAATGGCTAAGAACTCATTAAAAATAACATATTAAGCAAATGTTTCATAATAGATACTAAAACTAGATAGTGAATAATCCTCAAAAGTCATAATATCTTAAGCAAATGCAAAACAAAACCACAAAAGGAGCAACATCCTATTCTTCAAAAAGATCTCTAAACTCTTGAAGTGTCATCATGTTCGAGTTATTATATTGGTCATCATCTTCTTCTTCTTCATCGGAGGCTTCATTAATTAGGGTTCTACTTGTACTTGTACTTGTACTTGTAGATACTCTTTCTTTGCTCCTTAAAGTACTTCCCCTAAAACCATAAACATTCTCTTCAACTCCACTTGCCATAGCAACATGACCAAAAGTGAGACCTTCTCCTTCAAACACTTCTTCTTCTTCTTCATGATTTTCGGGGCCTCCGGTTAACCATCATTTGCTTCATCAATGCTATCCAATAAAATTGGATCAATGATATTGCGAGCTTTGTAACGACGAGCCAATGTTCTATTATATTTTACGAACACGAGATCATTAAGTTTCTTTAGCTCAAGCCTGTTCCTCTTCTTAGTATGAATCTGCATAATAAGATGTAGAAAGTAACTAAGAGGAGTACTTAGGACAATTGAGATAAACTTTAATTTAGTAATAATGTAATATAGCTTCTCACATGTTCATAAACACTCCAATTTCTCTCGCATCCAGATGAGCTACAAGTTAAGCTTTGATAATAGCAAATTGTTGCAAGTTTGGAACTTCATAACCAAATTGCATCCACCATTCAACTGTAAAAGTATTATTTTAGAAGTTAATAACTTGAAAGTTAAAGCTCTAAAGAGGAAAACAATTGAAAAAAGTTGCTCACCTGGTGCCAATTTGGTTCTGCCTCTAATGGCCGAAGCTAATCCAAGAATTCCATCGGCTTGCATATACACACCAAGCTCTTACCCTATTTTGTCTTGCATCGCTTCATCTGGCACCAACTTCGCAACACATGCATGATACCCCTTCCAAACGTTTAAATCTAAAGTCTTGTTCTCATTGTTTGTGTAAAACAATCCAGGGTTCAAAATATGCCCTGCTGCATGTAAAGGTTGATGAAGCTGATCATCCCACCTTTTATCAATGATTTGAAACACTCTCTCATATTTCCTCCTATCATGATCAAATGCATTCTCAATAGCTTCTTTAGCCCTATCCATGGCTTCATAAATGTATCCCATTGGTGGTTTTTTCTCCCCATCCACCATACGAAGTACAGTAACCAAAGGATTACCAACTTTAAGTGCTTGTACAGTGTCATTCCAAAAAGTAGGACTAATAGCAAATCTCGCAACTTCTTTCCCAAGAGCTTCCTTTGCATAGGTACTCTCACTCCATTCGGTTGACAAGAACATGGTTCGCAAATTTTGCTTTTGCAGGTAAAAGCTATGCAAGGTCAAGAGAGCTGTTTCGAATCTTGTCTTAGCTGGTTTCACCAAATTTCTTTCTTTTGTGTATCTCCTCATCATGTTCAACAAAAACGGCCTTTGACTAATGTAAGAATGTATCTTGATCGCCTTAGTAAAAACTGTAGGAAGTCAAATTTCATAGTTAATAAGTATAAGCAATTAACATGAAGGTTAAAAACTTAAAATAGAAAATAAGAACCACTTGTTCACCTGTAGAATATGGGGCTAACTTGAAAATGTCACCAAAAATCAAGTTGATACAATGTGCAGCACAAGGAGTCCAATAAATACTTGGGAAAACTCCTTTCAACATGTCACCCGCTTTTTTATTCTCACTTTCGTTATCAGTAACAACTTGAACCACATTTTTCGATCCAACTTTCAATATTGTCTTCTCAAACAAGTTGAACATTTTATTGGAATTGGTTGAGGAGTCACTAGCATCATAAGATTCAAGAAACACACTACCTCTCGGAGAATTCACCAAAACATTAATGACCATTTTTCCATTTTTTGCGGTCCATTTGTCCATCATAATGGAACAACTATAAGCTTTCCATTGCGCCTTATGCTCCTCGACAATCTTGTCTGTCTTCTCCACCTCCTTTTTTAGACAAGGAACTCTTACTTCGTGATAGGTAGGGGGCTTCATTCCCGGGCCATATTGGCCAACGGCCTCAATGAATTCCCCAAAACTATCGGTGTAATTCACACAATTAAAAGGGAGCCCCGCATCATACATCCACCTTGCAAAAGCATCTACAGCACGCTCCCTCAAACTCTTCCTACAAGATTCTAGGTCAACAGCTTCACCCTTTCTCTTTTCATTTGGTTTTTGTGAGGAAAAAAAATTAAGAGGACCTTTCACATTGCTACCGGCGGTGGATGATCCACTTCCACTTGTTGAATTCTTTCTTTGAGCTTTAGAGGGAGGTGGCCTCATTATATCATTGACTTCATCGTCATCCTCATCCATTTGACTATCTTCATCAAGAAGATTAATCATAGATGCTCCATGGCTCATTGGATTTTTTAACTCATTTTTTTTTCTCAACATAATCTCTCATTTCTTTCTTAACAGTAACCGGAACACTTGGACATTCTTTGACATCTCTAAAACCACCGATTAGATGTCTCTTGTGACGATGTATTCCACCGTTATAAATTTTTTGACAAAAGATACATTTGCACTCTTGAGTTATTATTGCCAACTGCAACTCCATACGCCCAAGTTGGATCTCTTTTTTGTCTTGATGCCATTGAATAATCAAATTAAATTTACTACAATCAACAACCAAAAAAAAATAACAATTAATTCACTGCCTAAACAGAAAACAGAGCATAAACTGCACTTTTAATAACAGAAACAGAGCATAAAGAGAGCATAACAGAAGAAAACGGAGCATAAAGAACACTTTTAATAACAGAACAAAAAGAAGTCATTTAGGGCAAAATATGAGCGCTTAATCTGGAGAAAAAAATTAAAAGAAAAACAGAAGAGAAGAAGAATAACAGAAGAAGACAGAAAACAGAGCATGAAGAAGAAGAACAGAAGAATGGAAGAAGAAGACTAGAAGAAGAAGAAGAAGAAGAAGAAGAAGAACAGAAGAAGAAGAAGAAGAACAGAAGAACAGAAGAACAGAAGAAGAAGAAGAAGAAGAAGAAGAAGAAGAAGAAGAAGAAGAAACTTACCTGTTTTGGAGCAGCAGTGGTCTGTCGCAGTGTCGCTGGAGTTCGCTGGGCTGGAGAAGAAGACCAGCGTATGTTTTGGTAACAGATGCCTTTGGAGCGTATGTTTATTTGCCCAAAATTTTTAAAAAAGCCCTAGCTTCAGCCTTCTGCTCGCTTAAGCGAGCTTTTTATCGCTTTTCTTAAAGCCTCGCTTCTCGCTTAAGCGAGAAAAGCGTGCGCTTTTCTAACGTGAGTCGCTTTTTTTCCAGAAAAGCGTACCCCTGCGCCTCGCCTCGCTTCGTCGCTTAAAGCGAGAAGCGAGCGCTTTTAATAACACTGAGTCAGACAACAATAATGTATGGAGCTATTCTCCGTCATAATAACCTCAATTCTTAACATCATATCAATACTTCAATTAAAATTTAAAATACTGATAATATCAATTTTTTCTACTTCGTATGCTCGTTTGTTGTTAGGTCTAAAAATGGTGCCAGGAGAGGGCATCGTTATGCCCGTTAATGAATCAATGCATATCTTACACTTTGAAAGTAAACTTTATTTCTTTTTTGATTTTTCTCTCCTATAATTTCTTTCTATATGTATATGTGCATATAGATTTTGCTAGAAGAGTCCTCAAGGTAAGTCCCTTCAGGTATGCCCTTAAGATGGGTCGCTCCTTTATCAAAATAAAATAAAAAATGTTAAAGTAATTTTTCTTAAAAAGCATAATTTTTCACAACCAAAATCGTTAAACTTTCGCTTTGTTGGTAATGATTTGATTCTTCACTTAATAATTTTTTTTCTTTCATTTTTCCTTCCCCTGCCCATATGTATAATGTATTTTTTTATAATAATGTAAAAATATACTACTCTTATTTCAATTTAAATGACTCACTTTCTTTATTAGTCCGTTTAAAAAAATGATGCATTTTAATAATAGAAAATAATTTAATTGTAAACTCTTTATTTTACTTATTTTACGCTTAATGAGAAGTTTTTACAACCACAAATATCATAACATCATAAAGCTTTTATCCCTTAAGCTTTTAAGATCATAAGTTTTTTAAAACTCGGTGCCGAATCAAAGTATCTCGTCTAAACTAAAGGAGGGAGTAATATAATCCTCTCCAGCATATGATTAAAAGAAAACCCCACTTTTTGAGAAGCAGTTATTATAGTTTTATATTCATCCCAAAAATAATTAACTACTTTTACACTGTCACTTTCCTATACACTCTGTCACACTACCAACTTCAGATCCAACACCCCTCTCTTCCCCCTTTCCCAAAATCCGCCATTGCAGCTCTCTATCTTCAACTTCTTCCTCTTCCTTTAATTCTCTCAAAATAACTCTCACACTCACAAAAATTGTAAAGCCAACAACAATAACAACTCGTCTCAATCTCAAACAAGTTGGGGTGGGCTATATCAATATTGGCTTCTTCATTACTTCTCCATTTAAGCTCAAAATCACAAAACTGTAAAACCCCATTAAAAAAAGCTCAAAATTTAGCTCCTTCAAATGGCTGCTTCCCCTAATAACAGTACCACCAACAAATCCAAGAACCAATTAGTCTCCACTATGATTAAACAAGGCTTCATTTCCAACCCCTATATCTCTCCTTCTCCTTCACCTTCCCCGCCGCGTGTATTCAGCCCAACTTCCCCTACCCAAATTACGACCCGACCCAGCAACCCAAGCCCGACCCTTTTCGAAATGATGTCGGAGGAACAGACCCGGGAGTCCAAACACTCGCTTTTTGAATCGCGTCACAAGGCACACGAGAGAGTTTCTAAGGTTTTGGCTGATGCACCGTTCCCACGTGTGGGTGACGTCAGGCTGACGATAGCGGCGCGTGATGGGTTTAAGGTTTCAATGGATGTCCACCGGCGCGTGCTTATAGGACGGAGTAGGTTTTTTGCTGAGAAGCTTAAGAGTAACGGGTCACATTCGGTGGAGATTCTTGATTGTGATGACGTGGAGGTTTATGTGGAGACTTTAGTGCTTATGTATTGTGAGGATTTGAAGAAGAAATTGATTGGCGAGGATGTTTCTAAGGTCCTCGGATTGCTTAAGGTATGTTCTTTAATTCTTTTTTTTTTTCCTTCTATTAGAGTTTAAGTTATATATACAAACTACACTATAGTATTAATTTGTAGTAATAATTACTCAATCCGGTCACATCTACCTGATGTAGCAAGTAATTTACATGTAGATATACTGACCTGAATTCTATAACTTTAACTCTTTGTGTTAACATCATTTTTAGTACCTTACAAATTTATGTGATGTTGTTTGACCGAGCATGGAGTCTAAAATAACTCATAATTTTGGTGTGGCTATAAAACATGTTACTATTAAAGGTAAAATAAGAAGTTTAAAGTTAAAATTGCTTTTAAACATAGGGAGATATCGTTCTTTTTTGGACAGGTAACAAAGAAAGTATCACATAAATTGAAAGGAGCGATGAAAGGAGTATTATTTTTCTTTAGTATTCTTACTCTAAATGAAACACTTTGGGCTAATTTTGTTTGCTGTGTAAGAGAAGTTAACCTATGTTTAAAATACTGTACTATTTTGTACGTGACAAAATGTGGAATAAGAATAAGGATATTGGCAATATGAGTATAAAACTAATTCTTGACTTTGATATCGCAGTTTTTGCATAACAATACATGTATCAGTATTCATCAAGTAATGATCCTTATTAGTATTATTAACCTATCGTAATCCTGTATTATAGTCCTTATCTAGCTAGTTCGTGAACCTAAGGGCCCCTATAATTTTCATATGGTTCTATGCTAGGCTATGACCCGTCAATGAAAAAGCTTGTTAAATATAGTAAGTCTTGCTTGGGCTGCTTTACTGATAGTCTTTATTTTTTCCCTTTCACTCGTAGTGTGGGGAAGAAGGGGACTCTAGGGGTCCTGCTAATTGAGTTAAGGAAGCAAACTCTATCAATATCAATTGCTTTCTAGATCGTTCGGGAAAACGTTTTGAACAAAATAAAATTACCTTCATTTTAAGATTCCATTGGACTCGACTGGAGTAATGCTCTACAAACAGATATTCATATTTTAAAGTTTGTTTGATGAGCTGGTGCAAGATTTTTTGAATGTCCAAATATATGTAGCAGAAATCGGGATGTAAAATAATCACATAGAGGTGGGAAATTGAGTGGAACGCAAATAAGAATTAGGAGAATCAGTTATGTTATATACCAATGGACTAGCTATAGAGCAACATGTGGGGAAAAAGTAACAAAATATGGCATTTGGAAGCAGGTTTCAAATGTACCTTTGTCTTAACAAATTTTATTACATGAGCTGATTGTGGCATGGTTGGGGCATCTTGTAGGTTTTAGTAAAATAGTGATGCTAAGTTTCATGTCATAGTGCAAAGTTGTTAAGTATAATATGAAAAGCTCTTTATTTTATTAATTGGATGCTTTTATGTGCATCTGGAATTTTATAATTAGAAACATGGCAGTTGTATTAATTCATCTTGTTATATTTTGTCCATTAGTGATTGTTCCGTGTTTTGATCTGTTTTCTACTCTTTGTTTGGTTAGTTATCTTTCCGTTAGGAAAGTAAAGGAAATTGCGAATGTTGCAGCAAGATTCTTATCTTTTCTTGTGTTGTTCAATGAGGGAAAGAAAAATGAACTTTCATGTGTGGGAGCTGATAAAGTTTAGAATTACTTGGTGCTGTAGATATTTTCTTTTACAATCTGAAATATAAAGATGCTTCTTGTAATCCACCAAGTGACTGATATTGTTAGTATGCTCATATAAAGTTGAACCAAATATAGAGTAGCAGCCTCTTGTTTGGCTCTAAAAGGAAAGGCTTAAGAAGGGGGGAAGGGGTTGTAATTGTGAGACAGAACTGAATCCAATGAAATTCATCCTTTTAGATTTCCAGCTTGTAGTAAATGTGAAAATTTTACCTCCAATGGCGAGGAAATCTTATGGAAATCATCTTCTACCGTTCTTTGATTTTTGCTGCTCCTTCAGTAAATGAGAATCAGAATGCAGAGTTAAACATTGTGAAAGAAACTAATGCAATGTGCTAATGGATATCTTGGCAACTAGCGGAATGCATAGAAGATACTAAACCAAGCTTCATTTTTTCTAGCGATTAGTATGGCAAGGTTTTAACTACACTAACAAGCTTAGGACTTTGAGTTTCTTTTTTTGTTTTCTATATTAATATTTTCCTTTATCATGTTTTATCGCAGATATCTTCAGCAATTATGTTTGATGATGGAGTATTGGCTTGTTTGGAGTATCTGGAGGCTGTTCCGTGGACCATACAAGAAGAGGAAAAAGTAGTATCTCATCTCAGTCAACTTCAGCTTCCCGATTCAGCAGCTGATATACTTCAAAGAGTGGTCGCTGAACCATCAACATCTTCAAGTTCTGATGACATTCTCCAGAGATTACTCACTGGCGTTTTACATGCCAAGGATGATAAAGCCCGCAAAGAGATGAAAACAGTGATATCTCGTTTGCTAAGAGAAAACGCTAGCAATAGTAGCAGTCGTGAAAGTAACCTTGATATCTCCAGGGATAGTCTGTATCATCTTTGTCACAGATGTCTCACTTCTCTAATACTTTGCTTGTCTGAAGCTACATCTGCGGATGATAACAGACAGGATCGAGGGGTTCTAATGGGTGAGATAGCTCGAGAAGCAGACAATCTGCAGTGGCTAGTTGATATCCTAATTGATAGGAAAATGGGAGATGAGTTTGTAAACCTATGGGCAGAACAAAAAGAACTCTCTGTTCTCCATTCCAAGATTCCCACCATGTATCGCCACGAGATCAGCAAGATCACTGCACAACTTTGTGTTGCAATTGGTAGGGGAAATTTATTAGTGCCTAAAGAGGTTAGATATTCTCTGTTATCGACATGGCTGGAAAGTTTATATGAAGATTTCGGGTGGATGAAGAGGGCTGGTAGATCAATTGACAAGAAGTTAGTTGAGGAAGGACTTGGCCAGACTATTCTAACACTACCACTGGCTCAGCAACAAACCATACTACTTAAATGGTTCGATCGATTTCTTAATAAAGGGGATGACTGTCCCAATATTCAGAGAGCTTTTGAAATTTGGTGGAGAAGGTCATTTGTTAAGCAATACACAGTTGACTCTCAGTTACAATTAGCTCTCTGTGATTATACAGATTGACTAGACACTGTACAATATCAATCTTTGTTTGCTATGTGCTCCTATACACCAATGTATATATGAAATGCCATTCTTTCCAACAATTGTGTAGTTCTTTCAGATGTAAATTTTGATTTTTGGCTTGTTTGACGATTTATCTAAAGAGGGGAAAATAGCAGAAAATAATGTACTCTAAATAAAACCATCTAGTCATATAAAGATGACAGTTGAATAGACTGTAGCCAAACCAGCCCATGATCAGAGGCGGCTCAACACTACGTGTGGCCTAACGCGATAATTTAAAAAGAGGCCTCAAAAGACATTCGAGGTTAAGAAATGCTTTTTCATATCTAATCCTTTGATAATTTCATTAGCTTAAGATTGAAAATTTGTCTAAAAACACTTAAAGAATGGAAGAAGATTTTACAAAATTATAGTTATAAACAAAATTGATTCAAGTTGATGTGAATTAGACAAATTAAGAAGTTGAGCCCATCTACCATGCCTGAGGTAACATATATGAGGGTAAGAATGGCTACATCATTTTTTCTTAATTAAGGCTACAACATAGTGGTATTAGTGGAAGTCTAACATAGAAACGTGTAGGTTTAATTTCCACCATCTTCCTTTCCATTCTCTTAACTAGTATATGTACCCGCACGATGCGCGGAAAATATTAAATAAAAGTAATATGGGAAAATGCATAAGTAACCCTGACCTATACTCGGATTTTCAACTACACACTTTTTCTTTGCGGAAATTCTATTACCCTCCTAAACTTATTTTAAATGGAATTATTTGCACCCTTAACGCTGACGTGGCAGAATGTGTGTATTTCACTCTCCCAAAGGAGAGTGAGAAGCCAAAAGAAAAAAATGATTTTCAGATTATCTTTTATTCTTTTTTACCATTTTTTCTTACTTTTTTTTCCTTTTCCTTTTTCTTTGTCTTTTTTCTTTTACTTTTTTTTTCGTTTCTTCTCTAATTCCAGCGGATATTCATTCACCGGCGACTATGTCTAACCGTTTTTCTATTTTCTCTTTTGACACACAAATTAAACTCTCAAAAAGATCTATTCATAAGCAAAGAAATTACACTCAGATTTGGGGGGAAAAATTCATCATCGGGAAATCTTCGCACGCCGGAAAGAAAATGATGTATTGAAATTTTAACTAAAAAAAGTTTTCGCAGCTTATATTCATTTTTATTTCTTTTGCTCTTCCTCCCACTCATAAATTATACTTTCAAGAAAATTATATATATATATATATATATATATATATATATATATATATATATATATATATATATATATATGAAAACACACTTAGATCGGGATAAAAATCTATTGCCGAAAAAAAAAATTCGTCGGAAAAAATGGTGTTTGTGAAATTCCGACGACCACCATTTTATGCCGCCGGTTACCAAAACAAAAAAAAAAGAATGAAATATCCAAAAAAATGAGAATAATATAAGAAATAAGAAAAAATGATAAGAAAAAGAAGAAAGAATAAAAAAAGTACTAAAAATACATGTGGGGGTGCGTGTAGCTCACCACTTGCCAAGAATTTGGTTGTCAGCGTTAAGGGTGCAAATAATTACATTTAAAATAAGTTTAGAGGGGTAATAGGATTCCGCAAAGAAAAAATATGTAGTTGGGAATCCGGATATAGGTCAGGGGGGTACTTATGCATTTTTCCAAGTATTTTCACAAAATTGTTATCTTATTGTTATTTTCACTGCTCTATTGTTAGAGTTTCTTGCAGCCTTAATTATACTATACTGCATTATAAGCTACTTTACTTTGCATATTGCAAGTAATGAACTTTATATTTGTATAAAACTAAAATAACCTTTGAAGCAAAATTATTTTTCAAAAACTCCACGCATTCTTCATATTGTGAATGACCTTCAAGTGTGCAATTTTGAGTACAAATGAAAGACCGTAATTTGAAAAAATTATGGGAAATAAATTATTTTAACGGGTAAATCATTTTGTAACTTTCTCAAACTTGTTAATCGAGATAATATAGAGAGATGGTATCGATACTTAGTTTTTCATATAAAATTAGTTGCTCCATATAAACATCAGTGTGTAATATTCATTTACCTTAGATAAACTTGCATTACACTCGGTAGAAAACCAATCTAAAGCATATGACAACAGCAAGCACTTATCAATTCTCACAACAATTTAAAAGATTTATTCTTCTCCATAAGATACAGTTTACATATTAAAACACTCAGCATAACAATGTATTTTAGAAACTTTAGTACATCGCCTACTTTTGCAAAAAAGCTATAGAGATATTATTCATCCATCGAAAATGGCAATTCTCCAATTCAAAGCATCCAGATATCATCGGCACCGGTCGACTGAGTCGATCCCATGTAACCTCCAACACCAACCTTGCTCTGCACTTCCAGTGTATTTACTATTTGGCATGTCGATAAGCATTTGTTGAGGATTTGTTTCGTCGAGATACTGTAGCTCAACATGCCATCCGGATTAAAAACTTCAAAATCCGCCTCTAACACAACAATGAGAAGGATCACTTTAATTTTTATGTTTTCAGGGTCATTGTCGCTAAATAGAGAAAGTAACTCGATATAAATTGGATACACAAAAATTGTTAAAGCCAAAGCAGTTTTAAACGGAAGAGTCTTAAAAGGAAAAATATATATATGATAACTAAATAAAAAAAATAGTTATTAAGCCTCACAAAAATTACTGTAGTATCTCGAAAAGTTGTTCACAATATATAAAAACTGGACTTGTATATAAGTAGGAAAGACGTAGAGTTGAGACTAAAGCTTGTTAACAATATCATCAACTCACTTTTCTTATCAAGCCATTCAAGAATATAAGAAAATGTATGGGTAAGGATCAAAATTCAATGACAGCAACCATATTTATGGAAAGGAAAAACATGTAAAAAATACCGGCAAAATAAAACTCCAATGAATAAACTTCCAATTGACAGCATGAAGAGTAATATCTGTAGTTGCTCTGCACAAACTTTTTTCAGAACTATTTTTCAGTAACAACAACAATAGAATCAGGGTAAAAAAAAAGCCAAAAGAAGTTGATGATAGAAGAAATTATAGAAAGGAAGACTTAAGCTGTAAGTGAAAAATTGATCTTGCACGTCTAAAATGTAAGATAAATGATATGAATGTAGAAATATAATGAATAAACTTCCATAATGTTCATGGTACACATGCAAAACGCAAGTCAAAAATAGAAGAACCTAATAATACTGAATATTAACCTAGTTGCGAAACATAAAAAGTAATGCAGTTCCATCATCAGGGTGTATCTTCCTCAAATACAACTTTGTCTATCTGAATGTCCCTGAAAAGTGGCAAATATATAGTAAAAACGAAGAAGAGCTAAACCCCACATTTTAGACAAAATTTTAATAATACGAAATAGATGCCAAAACATATGCAAAAATAAATATTTAAAGACATGCATCTTCCTCAAGTATAACTTTGTGCATTTGAATATCCCTGAGACCGATGGGAAAAAAAATAAAAAGAAGCACCACATTTTGGACAAAACTTTAACAAAATAATGAAAGAAATGCCATAACATATGCAAAGATAATCTTTAAAGACCAAGAGAAAAATGTTGTAGCAAATAAAACTTTAATTTACTTCAACAATATTGGTCATCTTAAAGAAAATAGTTATAATAAATAAATCGATGCTAATTATTCCTAAATTACCACAAGCTAAAAATTAAAAATTGCAGTAAGCAATCCAAAAGCATATCACTCATTGCATGTACTTTGAGAAAAGCAAGGTTTCATCCGATCATTCTAAGCTCAACATATTCCTATTAAAGTCCAATTTGCTCAAAAAGACAGGTACAGTTCTGACACCTAACATTTAGTTTTTTCCATTTTAATTTTAGGAACAAATTTTAGAAGAAAATTAAAATAATTTTACTCAACAAATTCATGTAATAATACTTTTGATGTTGCAGGGTTTTTCCTTAATCGCCAAAAGAGAGCAAAAAAGAAAACTTTCTTGGTCATCCCTTTAATATTGTACATTATTAGTTTCTAAGAGTTAAATTATCATGCCCTAAACATAAAACTCAACAAAATTAAGAAATATTCGGGAATTCCTATGTAAAATTAAAGTTCCAAAACCATACAACATGATTGAGAAAATTTCATAAGGAAAAACTTTACTACCTTCACGTAAAATGGGGAGAATTGATAAAATTCTATTGCCATTTTAACTACTGCTACAAATATTATTTGCATCAATAAATAAATAAATAAATAAATAAATAAATAAATAAATAAATAAATAAATAAAACACACACTTACTTGGCTGGTGGCTTAGCAGGATCAGTGGGAGCAATATTCTTCTTCTCCTTCATGTTGTCAACTTGATTATCAACTGTAGAACCCGTTGAAGAAAGGTTTTGTTTCAAGTCAACAGTTTCTGAAAGACTCTTCCCATTATTCTTTGACGTCACTTCACCTTCATTTTCATTAATGGCTCCGGGCAACCCTAGCCTCAGCTTCGTCTCCGCTTCATAATCCAATTGAATTTTGTCACACTCCGCTCCCATCACACTCGTCAACTGACTTCAGCTAAGATTTTAACGTAAGAAATCCTACTTCATTCGTCTTGTATCCTTTTGTTTATTCAATTCAAGTTTCAAATAGAAGATAAATAAATTTAAAAAAAGGAGAACAAAGAACCTGTTTTCTGTGTGATAAACTTCAGATTTCATGTCTACAACCACCAATTGGATCGTCTTCTTTCACAATCTATCATCGGAATCCATGGTTCTTCGATCTGGTCATTATTTGTACAAATCTCCTACCATTCATATTAATGGAAATAGTAGAACAATCTATGATTCTTCGATCTAGTCAACATTTGATGAAATTAGATGAGTTTTAAACTTCTCCCAAAAAGAGAACACTGATATCTGCAACAGTTTTCGCTATGTTAATTTGTTACCCTTTTTATAGGCTTGATTTTGCAATTCGTGGGATCATTGGGTTTCTTATCTTTTAATTTACTTTAATTAAAAAATGTTTGTTACCCTTTTTATAGGCTTGATTCTGCAATTCCTGGGATCGTGGGGTTTCTTATCTTTTAATTTAATTTAATTTAATTAAAAAATGTAGAATTCACTACAGATTTTTAACAAAGAAATAGAGGGGGAAAAAAGAAAAACACCATCGTTTATTAATTTTTGAATTGTAACGGTTTTTTTGCTTCTTTTCATCCCCCTATTTCTTTGTAACTATCATTTCTTAATTTTGATTGGTTTAATTGTAACTTTTATGCAGTTGTTTCGCATTTCGTGGGATCATGGGGAGGGTTTCTTATCTTTTAATTTAATATATTAAGATAATATATAATTCAACTACAG